TGGACCAAGAAAACAACACTAACGTTATTCAGTTGCTGGTAAGTGAAATCCAAGCCCGAGAATACAAAATAAAAGTTCATAGTCATAGGTTTTAAGGCCAGAAGGGACCCTACCCTTATGACTTAATCTGTCCTTCTGCATTTTAGGTCACAGAACCTCACCCAGTAATTTCTGCATCAAGCCCATAACTTCTGTTTGAGCTAAAGCATCTCTCTCAGAACAACATCCAGTCCTGATTTAATGACTTCATGTGATGGAGAATCCACCATTGATGCTTAGCATTTTTAACTTCACATCTGAATCAGTTCATCTAATTATAAGCATTCCCAGAAAAACATGTCATTGAGTAGCTGCAATAAAACCACAAAATAAATACAGTAAAACCTTGGTAATTTACACTCGTGATTGGAGACCCATTGCAAATGAGTGAATTAGTAAATGAACAGCCAACAAAATGAAGGCTTCTGCATCACAAAATGGACTTGGATCACTGTAGTTTCATTTTAATTATTTGTGAGAATACCACACTGAACCTTAGTGTGCAAAACACTTAATTCCTACTTTTCAGACTTCACTCTACTTAATCTTGGTGTGAAGACTGTGGGGAAAGAATGCAGATTAGCAAGATTGTATTGTACATAAAATAGCACCACCAGCCACACCTAGCATCAAAAATAACAGAGACTGTATAAAGGGCCAATGAGCCTTAGTCCTCACCTTTCTCATGTTCTCCTCAGAAATGTTCCATTGGAACCAATAATGCCTTCCTCTTTCCCAGTTGTTTTATCCCTCCTAGGTTCATAAATGGCCTAACAAGCATTTGAACACTGAAGGCGAGCAAGAGGGAGACACATCTACAACCACAAAGACAAGGACTGATGGCCCTTGTAGAACGAAGTAGCAGGGAATGGTCAGTCAGTCTTTGTGAAACTAACCATTGGGTGTAAGCAGGGTTCAGATTACAAGAGCTTTACCTGGTGTCCAGAACATTCATGGAAATCTAGAACTGGTCTGTGAGGATTCCAAAATAGCAGTAATAGCACCAGAAGAAGTTTTAACTCTGAGAAATAAGGAGCTACAGGTGATTCTGGGATGGAGCCAGGACAGGAGTAGAAGCACAATCAAGGCAATCTAAGCATAATCACGAGAACTGCTGCATGTGCAATTTCAGGTAGAGGTCAGCTACTAGAATGGGACCAAGGATAGCAGAATAAGCACGATGATTGTGTCCTAAAAGTCTGGAGCCCAGATTTTTTAAAGGTGTTTGGGCATTTGCTATGCTCAGCATTGCAAACTCGACATGTCATTTTCAAAAGGGATCAAGGCATTTAGTGCCAAAAGCCCATTGACTGCCAATAGGATTTAGGCTACTAAGTGCCTACATCCCTTTTGAGAATGAGATTTAGGCTCCAAAATCTGTTAGGCATTAAACACTGAATGCAGTAATGTTTAAATACCTTTAAAAATTTGGTCCTAGGTCCCTTAATAGCTGCATTGCGCTCTCCGGGAAGCGGATTGAGATTAATTTGAACACTTACCAGTCCAAGAGAACAAAATACAACTCCACTGCTATTGCAGTGAATCCATAGAGCAGTGTTGACATTTCAGTAGAGGAATCAGGCTGGAGTCTATGGTGCCTGCAAGCCAACTATAAGAAGGAAGAGGGGCTACAAACTGCACAATATATGGTGAAGTAGCTAGTTGGAACCCTAAGCAGAATGAAGCCAAAAAGAAGGGAGACGCATTTTCAACTTGCCAGATCAGTACGGGGGCAGCAAGGGATGGCCGGCCTATAGTTTCAGAGCATTATAAACCTACCTTTGATGGAAGGAATTATTTGCTCCAGAGCATGAATACCATTTAATAACACTGAGCTGCTGTAGTAAAGACACTTGTAGGTCAGATGGACTGCTATGGGTACAGCTAAAATACACCAGCCTTCCAAGCAAGCTGCTCTGCAGCCTAGGAGACTGTAACTGGGGACAGCTGTGTTATCTAAGCAAGGAGGATGTTTTCTAGGCAGTACTTTGACTGTATATATAGATTGAAAGGGTATTTTTCCATTGCTATTCTGCCCTCGTAATAAACTGCTTTTCTGTTGAAATACTGGAGTTACTATTGTTGTTTTCTCTTCCACACTACCTCTAACACATCCAAAAGTCCTTGTGGGACTAGACCATCTGATTTCTAGCAGGCTCACATTTGCCCTCAAAATCCTTCTCTTCTGCTTTCCCAATTACCCTGGGAAAGGGTATCTATTGCTAAAACACACTTCATCAGGAAGGGTAAAAGCAACCAGAAGCACAAACTATGGAATAAAATCATCATCAAATGCTTCCTTCTATGCCTAATTAGTCCTTAAGTTCCAATGTAGCCACAATTCACCAGTCAGCACTTCTTTTCATATTTTATTAAGAAGCACTGTCCCCGTCACCCACCACCATAAAGCAGCTGTCATGTTTTAAGAGCCATTTAATCAATTAGCTGCTAGCACCTGTGTGCACCCAGCTTAATAAAATAGTCCTTTCATGCAGTATCACAGATCAAAAACAATTACAACAGAGCAAACAATGTCACATCTTAAAATCATTCTGTGTAAACAATTAAGGTCAGTTTTCTAGGAATCATTATAATGCTTTACATCATTTTTAGTTAAATATAAAATACCACTATGTGGCTGACTCTAGTGTGTTTGTTTTTGATTGTTTGCTTAACTTCTGTGTGTGAATTTGTTGCTCATTTAAATTGAGAAACTACCAGCACTATTTAGAGGCAGGAACCGGGAACGTTTTTCTCAGGCCTTAGGAAGGTGGCTCCAAGTGTAATCTAAGCTGTGAATGTAAACGGATATAATTAAACTAGTGCAAACTCCTCTATGGACACCCTCTTATTTCAAAGTGGCTCTCTTCAGTTTAATTTAGGTCAGTTGGGAACAGGTTTAAGATAAACTGCACTAAACCACTCAAACTGAAATGAGAAACTCACAGGGATTTGCATTGGTTTAACCATCTCAATTGAGAAAACTATTTAAATTAAACTGGTTCAACTTTCCATGTAGACAGCTCTGCTACTGTGCCTAGTGCATGGCCTGCAAAACCCTTCTACTTCTAGGCCTAACTCCCTTGTGTTCAGAGGCAGTTATGTAAGATTGTTCAGTGATCTGTAACGTTCTGTAAAGTGGACAAATGATCACTAGGAGATAGTGTGAGATTAGAAGCCTCCTTATCCCTGGTGATCTATATCACAATTTGAAACCTGTTCCTTGGGGTTGAAATGCTAACACATTTACACACTGCCCACCCTCTCTTTCCATTTAGAATTGGGGAAAGTACAGAGAATGGCAACAAAAATTATTAGAGGTATAGAACAGCTTCCATCTGAGGAGAGATTAAGATGACCACCACTGTTCATCTTAGAAAAGAGACAACAAAGGGGGGATATGATAGAGATCTATAAAAATCACAAATGGTGTGGAGAAAGTGAATAAGGAAGTGTTATCTATAGGATTACCAGATAGCAACTGTGAAAAAATGGGGCAATAGGCACCTATATAAGAAAAAGTCCCCCAAAAATGGGACTGTCCCTTTAAAAACAGGACATCTGGTCATCTTAGTTATTTACCCCTTTATGTAACAGAAGAACCCAATGAAATTAATAGACAGCAGGTTTAAAACAAACAGAAGGAAGTATGTCTTCACACAACACACAGTCAACTATGGAACTCATTGCCAGGGGATGTTGTGAAGGCCAACAGCATAACTGGGTTTTAAAAAAATAGATAAATTCATGAAGGAAAGGTCTATCAATGGTTATTACCCAAGATGGTCAAGAATGCAACGCATGCTCATGGTGTCCCTAAAACCTCTGACTGCCAGAAGCTGTGACTAGACAATAGGGGATGGATCACTCAATAACTGCCCTTTTCTGTTCATTCCCTCTGAAGCACTTAGCACCAGCCACTGTCAGAAGACAGGATTCCGGGCTAGATGGACCATTGATCTGACCCAATATAGCCGTTCTTATGTTTAATATCTGTAAGGGAGGGCAGTCCTCTTGTGAAACATTCTCCACGCAAGCTTTGAGAGGCAGTTATGAAGTTGAGGGCCACCATGGACTAACCTACTGAAAGAATGTCTGGAACCAGCTCCCATTTGATGGGAAACAGATGTTCTCTCAATATTAACATATACCCAGACACATTGCTTACTCACTAGTGAATTAAATACTGAACTGTGTATGTCCTTTGAGAGTTCCATAAAGTGTGGTGACAGTCTAGGAGTACAAAGTGGCCTATAAAAAAAATATATTAGGCCTCTGAACACCCCAGGTCAATATTGTTACCATTTTATGTATGAAGAAACTGACGCAGAGGAACGTCAAGTCACTGCTCAAAACAGCACAAAGCAAGCTAGTTGCACAGCTGTTGAGAGCAGGGTTAGCGGATACGGTGGTAAAAACACTAGCGCTCAGTCAACATTCTTGTTACCACTCATGAAGCTGTTCCTGTGTTAGAGCAACAGAAGAACGTGAGAAAAACTTCTACAGAGCACTCAATTTATATTAGTGATAAGCTCTAAAGGAAAGACTAATTTCCAGGAGGGCCCACCTGCACAGCATTTTCATCAGGTTTAATAAGCACGCTAGAATGTGGTTTAAACCCAGGTGCAGTGGAACAGTGTTCTTAAGATGGTTATGGTGACAAGTGCCAACAGGATGCAAGCATGGCAGAACAATGTTCCAAAAGCATATTCTAATCTAGGCAGGAACCTTTACTAGATAACAGTAACTGTTCCTATCTGAATTAGAATACCGTTTTTGAAACTTGTTTCACTATGCGTTGATCCCATCAGCACTGACTATCTAGGCAGGTCATTATACTTGCTCTAGCATGTTAATTATGCTTTTGTTTCTTAGCCTCTCTCTTTGTTAGGTGTAATAAAAGGCAGAGAATTTTAAAAAACATTCAAAACAGAACCCACAAAAGACAGACACAGGACAACTTGAGTGTCATCTACATTTAGGCAGTTTTATTAGACAACTTGAAAAAAGATGAGTGCTTTAATTTACAAATGTATTAATAATTTCAGTAACCTGGCAATTATGGAAAAGAAATATTTTACAAACATTACAAAAGTTGTACTCTATTTTGAAATACAGAAAAGGCTATTAGTCAACAGTAAAGATATATATTATGTGATGATAGTTTTTCAATCCCATTGCAAAATAGTTTTTTTATGTCTATGCCTTCTCAAATGGACAATAAATCTTGAGGCTAAGGCACTTTGGATATATATTCACTAGCATATAAGAAAAAACATTATAAGGAGACTGCAATAAATGGATGCTCTTATGCCTAGTAGTGGCTGTCAGTGCACCAGACTCTTGTGAATGGGCACAGCTCTTAACAAATAAACTGAAGGTTATTTCTTCCTACTTCTGATAATTTAACTAAAGATTAATTCAGGCAAATTTAGATTTAAGGAGGCCAGATGAGAATTCTGAGATTTAAACTCTTCATTCACTTTAACTATTATTTCAACTTCTTTTAAAAAAGGAAAACTGTGATGATAATTGCATGGAAACTGACAGTGAGAATTAGCGTATGGAGTAATTTTTCAGGAAAAAATGTTTACGGTCTCCACCCAACTATGTTTACTGTCTCCAACCAGCTATCTACTGATTTGTAATGTACCCACCCTGATGGTAGCTAGGTGCAACACAAAAAGTCTTCGAAGCATTAGAGCAGCCTCAGTAGGACCTTGTTTTCTGTTCCTCCCATTCTTTTTAAAAGATTGTTTCTGATGCTGATTAAGAAGGGGATATTGATAGTTAATGTCTCACAGTCTCTTTATTTCCAGGGAACTGCAACAAACCCCCCTTTTTGAGTAAAAAAAAAAAAAAAATCACCGCCACCTTAAAGAAAATTCTTTGGAGTGGTAACTGTGAAATGTGTTTAGTGCATCCTTTTCATTTCTGTGTATCAAGTCCAAAGAGTGAAATATGAAACATTCATTTAAACCCCGAGCGACCAATCCTTTATTCAAATTAGTTCCATTAAATTTAATGGGGCAACTCACAAGCTTAGTTACCTGCAGGATCCAACACCATTTGTACTTTAAACTATCCTTTTCTTATTTTTCACTCAACTAAATGGTGGAGTGAAAGAACAGCAATTCGCGATACAAAAAATTACTTCTTCAAAATCCAGGCAAAACAGATAAACCAAAAGTGAATTTTCCTCAAACAGCTCAACTCGTAATTTGAGCACGTAACTTCCCTGAGTAATATTTTACAATTATAACATTCTACACTAAAATCAGCATAGTGCAACAAATTTTACACATAAGGATAATGGCCTTGATTATGAAAGTCATGAACAAAAACACAAGAATGTTTGCTGATGTTTGACATCATACTCCTCTGTTAAATATCCTACAGTGAAGGCTAGCAATGATAATTTTAAAGATGCCAGGAAAACTAACCTTTAAGGAAGTGTTTTACAAGAAAAATTGTGTTTCAGATACACTTAATGATTTTCAGTTTCCTTCAGTTTGAAAATGCAGCAAATAGCAAATGCTACATCTAATCTTCAGTGCTGTGGAAACTTTCATCACATCAATATAGTGCAGTCTCAACTTGGAAGATAAAATAACAGTTTTGTGTCTAAACAAATTTAAAACTATATCTATGTGAAATATATAATAAGCAACATATTCCTATCAGCAAAGTGAAATTTGAGTACATTGCATTATTTGTGTTTCAAAAATATTTTCGGTTTACATTTTTTTCATTGATAAGAAGGATAAACCAAAGTCCACAGTCTCAAAGCATTGACATAGCAGTAATGAATTTTTAAGCCTTTATTTGTGTGGAAATCCACAGGATGTCAATTGTGGGAAGTTATTTTGGACATCAAATGCTTGAGCAGATATTTTTCTAGGTTAGGGGAGATAGCATACATCAGTTCCATAGGTCAGACTCTTCATGGCTGTTGCATATTTATTCATGGTATTTTATTCTCCATATCTTCACAGGCTGGCAACATTCAGTTAGGAATAAATAAGTTGCAAATATGCAAGCATGAAAATTGTTCGTTCTCAAATTGCTATTCCACAAAACTGGTGATTAAAATATCTACCCAATCTAAATATTTAGTTTCTTCTAATTGCAAATGTCAGAATTTGATGCACCCATTTTTCTATGACAAAATAAATTAGAGTTTCTAGTTCCTTGCTCCTTTTCAGGTGTACTGAAATTTATTACATATGCCTCTAAAGTTAAGGTCACGTCAGAATAAACCTCTACAAAATTAAATGCTTCCTTCACAATCTGAAGGATTCACTGTCTCATAGTAGTAAAATTTGCTAATATAATAATAGTGTGATTATGTAAATGTTTATTAGAATAATGACATTTAAAATATATTGTACTGTTTGAATATTACCATTTTTTCTTACAAGAGTTGAAAGTAAGAGTTTGAGTAAAAGCATTTGAAAAAAATTGACAAGAACTGAGGAAATACCAAGTCCTATAGTATCTGCTGTATTAAAGACGTCTAACTGGAACACTTCACTTCTTTATAATTCAGGCATTTGACCCACAATACAACAGAGGTGTTCAATGCATTCTGATTATAAACTTTCTGACAGCAGTTTGAAATATTTCTTTGGTGGGGAAACTATACATAAGAAGTAATGTCAGTTTATAACATGGTAAGACATTAAAATGGAGTTATCAGATTACCCCCAACATACACCCACAGTACAACTAGAGTGGGATGAAAACACAATATTTTCCTTTTCTATTTGTTGACTCCTGAATACGAGTGGAGGGGAGGGTGTTTGTTGAATCTACTTCCCTTTACCTGTAGTAGTGAGTTCCAAGACCAGATGTGGTCTTCTGGTGGTGCACTATGGGCCATTAATACAAAGGTGAGCCTGAGAATGCAGAGAAATTACAACATAGCATCCTAGAACATCCAATACTTCTCACTCTCCCTTTATCGTGGATTAGAAAAGAGAAACTTGGCAGCAGCTATTATAGGTATTCAATGGGTTTTTTTTTTTTAAACTGAGAGAACAAGCTACTGAAAATTACAATTATTTGAATACAAAGGCAAATATTTGTTCCATCCTAGTCACAAAACGGAAGTTAATCAAGTTAGCGAAACCAGAAGACTAAACAGTATAGTCAATATATAGGCCCATTTTGATTATGCTGTTAAAAATGTCAGATATGTTAGCTGACTTCCAACATACATACCAATAGTATTATATCAAAATTAAAAACTAAAAATCAATAAAATAGTGCACACTGTGTAAACAAAGATTTAAGGACAGATTTAGCAATTGTGATTTCAGCTTATTCTGTACCTATTTAAAAAAAGCTGTCAGAAGGCTCTTTGCCCTTAATTTGGCTGACATACAACTGTAAAAAAGCATAATTATGTTCGGATAGCATAAGGCTACATGTGCAGGCACAAACATTCCAACATACACACATACATATATACAGTATATAAACATGTGTGTTGCATATCACCATAATTATAGTGAAGTCCTACCACTGCTCCCAGCTAAAGTCATCTCCTCTACCAAATACAAGAAAAAAGCCTAAAATGGTAAGAAAAATGACTGTGTTGCCAGCTAGCACAAGACCACAGGCTCCCCACTTGATCTGAAATACAAGATGAGAAGAAAAAAAATCCTTATTTGGTTTACATAACGTGTACAGTTCTATGTTACTTTCATGCATTAGATAAGCTAAATGAAATATTACACATGGGTGCTAAAAGCATAAGGGACAAGACCAACAAACAATTGATTCAGTTCAAGCATTCAATTAGCAACCACTGAAATAACTAGTATTATACTTATAAATTTTCCCTTCATTAGACAGTCTTCTTTAATACATTATCTTTCAGAACTAAATAATTATCTTAAAGCAGAATCCTCTTGGCGAAGAGAACATATAATACAGTATACAGAGAATTCTTTCAAACTCAATGCTTTCTCCTAGCTTTTATGCATTACAAATTGGAAGATATTCCATAAAATCAAGGCAAGGAATAACAATGAACAATAATTTGCAAAAATAAATAGCAATAGCTTTTTGTAGCCAAACAATCCCATGCCCCAGTGTTAAAAATATTTTGCACTTAGGAGATGTTGCTAGGGATTAGAGTACCCTCTTGTGGGCATTTCTGGTTTTGCCTACTGTCAAAAACCTACAATTGCTAAAACAATTTGTTTTTATATAGGTTTCAGAGTGGTAGCCGTGTTAGTCTGTATCAGCAAAAAGAAAAGGAGGACTTGTGGCACCTTAGAGACTAACAAATTTATTTGGGCATAAGCTTTCGTGGGCTAAAACCCACTTCATCAGATGCATGCAGTAGAAAATACTGTATTTTTCCACTGCATCATCTGATGAAGTGGGCTTTAGCTCACGAAAGCTTATGCCCAAATAAAACTGTTTTTATATAGTGTCCTTCATACAGAGCATTACAAAATACATTAAAATGAAGCGTACAAAAGCCTAAGCAGAAGAGGAAGTCTATAAAGTGATATTAAGAAAAAAAGTGTTTCAGTAGTTTAGCAGCAGGGAGGAAAGAGTTCCACGTACATGGCAAAGAACCAGTGTCAGACTGAATCCATCCCACAGAGGAGCAGCTCAGGGATGGGGCAGAGAGGAATGGAGTTAGTGGGTGGATAAAAGGTAGGGCAGAGCAAGTCTGTGGAATGTTTTGAAAACCAGGAAGGTAATTTCTTTAAGCAAGAATTTCATTTTGGCCACATAATTTTGGAAACCCTAAATTGCAGTAAACAGAATTTTTAGAAAACCAGAATAAGAGAGCTGTAATACCCAAGACAGGAAAGGAACAGGCATAGATACAGATTTCAGAAGAGCCACTATCAAGAATTCTGGAAATAGGAGTAAGCAGACTAGTTAAGGATCATAAGGGATGGAAATGAAAGTTCATGAACAAAAATGACTCCCAAGATTTGAGCTGAAAAGAGCAACAATATAAGCTAGGCAGGGGCATGAGAACTGTCAACAAATGTGCAACAGTAGTAAGTTTCTTATCATAAGAAAGAGTCAGCAGAACGTACCGCTTCAACACGTGCAAGAATTATAGGCATTCCAAAGGCAGAAACAACAATTCCAGTTGTGAAGAAATATGCCAATTCCCTGCAGGCACTGCTAGCGGCATCAGTGTCATCGCTTACTCTTTTTGCAATGAAGTGAGGAATGGGACAAAGGACATAAAATATCAAGACAAACAGGGGCCAGTACACACTGTGGGAGAAAAAGCCCCAAAAAGAAAAAGTTACTTTTCACATTGAAATCAAATCAGACAGACAACTTTATAGATTTCAAAGGGATTTTCACATACACAAAATTAAGTGTGTGTGTCTTTGTAAGATCAGGACCAATGTTTGTACTAAATAACCTACTTTTTAGCCTTTTGATTATCAGAAAACAATTGATATGTAAGCATGTTTAGTCACTATTGGACAAGGTATATCTAATAGTTAATCTTAAAACTCAGTGAATTTTACAGTTATTTTTATATACTTTTTCAAAAATAAACCATCTGGTTGTTGTTTAGAATTAGTAAAATTTAAATATCATTTGTATTTTTTTAATGCTGCTTGTGAATGTCAGATAAATTCACCTCTACTCCATTCAGTATTACTATTTTAATAAAATCAGTAAAATATTAAAATCAAATCAATACTAGAGAAATCTATTGCAAAAATACTACTACAAAGTTAAAATTACAGACTCATTAAACAATACTATATTGCTACCCGAGACTCAGTGTACAATGATTTTACTCCAGTTTTTACAGGAGTTAAACATCAATGAAAATAGTGGATTTACAATAACTATAGCCCCATTACCAACTGTTGGTTCTGGACCTTACAATGGTGTTCTAGGACAGTAGGTTTAACATGAATAATAATGCAAAGCTAAATGGGTTACAACGCCATCCAATCAGAATCCACAATTCTTAGTTAACTACTGAACTTACCTTTTAGCTAATAAAACAATGGTTAAATGTGCATACTCCAAATTACATGGGACCGACATACAGCTAGACTGCATATGTGTATTTACATGGGCAGTTCAAGAACACAAAGTTAGAACAAAGTCAATTTTTGTTTTTGAACTGAATTATTTCTTACCCATAATATTCTAGGGCACATCCCAACATAAGAAACGTTAGACCAATGGCTCCACTGAAGGATAAACCAACAAGGGCTGTACAAGAACAAAGAAATGGACTGTTATGCTGAAAACTCAAAACAAAACAATAATTATTATAACTTTAAGAGGAAGGCACCCTGACATTGTCACAGCAACACTTTCTCCAAGACTCAGTAAAAACTGCCCTTGACTTGAATCAGCAGCTGCAATGCAAAGTGATTCATTATTTCAATTCATTGTGTGACTTGGTTACAATTGATAATTGTAGCAGATACATTCCTCATTCGTTTGATTTTTATTCTGCACCTTTTCTGCTCTTGATACCATATTCTTCATTGAATAAACATAGCAACAACTTATTGATGCTTCAAAATAGAATTTAAGGGATTTTTACTCTTTTTAAAGTTTCATTAAAATCTAATAATAGCATTTTTATACCTTGTGAAATCAAGACACACCACAACACAAATAAGGCTTTTATTAGACTTTAAACCATTCCCTACATTGTTTGCAATCCACACACTGCAGCAACCTAAGAGTGCATGGAAAGCAAAAAATGAAACCAGCAAGTCTCTCTCATTACCCCCAAGGTAAAAAAGGCCAAGGTATCATTGGATCCTGATCTTTGAGGATAAGGCCTTTTGTAACATCACTTCAAGCCTTCCAAAATTATTCACAACTTTTACAGATGTCAGCCACTTCAGGGAACACTAGGGTGACCAGACAGCAAGTGTGAAAAATCAGGATGGGGGTGGAGGGTAATAGGAGCCTATATAAGAAAAAGACCCAAAAATCCGGACTGTCCCTATAAAATTGGGACATCTAGTCATCTAGGGAACACCTGCGGAAGGGTGCGGGAGCTGGAGAGCTACTCTGGAGGCAAAACGAGAAACAGGGGATCCAGAGAACTGAGGGGGACCAGATTCGGGGGCAGGGAGGATGAGGAAGAATCAGAGGTGTGTGAGGGGGCCACAAGGGAGAACTGGGGGTGTCCAGACTCGGAGGCGAGGGGGAACAGTGGGGAGAAATGGAGGTGGGCCCAGGATAGAAGGAATGGGAGAATCCGGGATGTCAGGGAGACTGAAAGGGGCAAGGGGGAGAGTGACGTGAGGAGGAACAAGGACAACCCAGTGAGGGAGAGGCAACGAGGCTCGAGGCTCGGGAGGAGGGAACAGGAGGAACTCAGCAATGTTGTGGCTCAGGAGGAGGAATCAGGGTGTCCAGGCTCAGGGTGGGGGCAAATCAAGAGTGACAAGGCTTGAGAGGGTATCATGACTGGGCAGGGAGGGAATCGAGGGGTGACAAGCCTCACAGGAGGGAACTGGGGTGTCCAAGCTCGGGGGGGGGCAGTTTGCGTGTCGAGGCTCGGGAGGGTACCGTGGCTGGGGGGGCAAGATCAGGAACGATGAGGCTCAGGAGAGTATCACGGTGGTGGTGGGGGAGGCAATTGAGGTGCCCAGGCTTGCGGCGGGGAGAGGAGAATCAGGGTGTCCAGGCTAGGGTTGCCAACTTTGGTTGGGCAAATTCCTGGAGATTTCATCACATAACATAATCTTTAAATCCTGGAGACTCCAGGACAATACCCTAGTCCAGGCAACCCTAGTCCAGGCTCTGAAGGGTCCCGTGGCTGGGGGGCCGGGGCAGTGGCAGGGGGGAATCTGGGTGTCCAAGCTCAGCTCAGGAATACAGTGGCTCAAAGAGGAGGAATTAGCGAGGGTGTGTGTGAGGAGACTAGGGGGGGGGGGGGGGGGTGGAGATCAGGATGTCCAGACTCAGGAGTGTAGGGTGTCTGGGAGAGGAGGAAGCAGGGGGTGAGGAGAATCAGGGGAAGGGGATCATGAGTGACAAAACTCGGGAGGATAGAAAGGTTGAGGGCAGGGAATCGGGGGGTGACGAGGCTCGGAATCAGAGGGGTTACGAGGCTCGGGGGAGGGAGGAATTGGGGATGACGACGAGAGGAATCAGGGGGTGACGAGGCTTGTGGGGGGGATCGGAGGGACAAGGGGGGTGGGAGGGAAGGAGGGGAGTTGACGAGGCGAGGAGGGGGCCTCACGAGGCTCGGGGGTGATCGGAGGGGAGGAATCGGAGGGGAGACAAGGCTCGGAAGGAGGGATCGGGGGGTGACAAGGGGAGGAATCGGGGGTGACGAGGCTCGGGGGAAGGAATCGGGGGGTGCGAGGCGGGGGGGAGGAGGGGAGGAGGGGGTGACAAGGCTGAGGGAGGAATCAGGGGGATGACGAAGGGAGGAATCAGGGGGAGGAATCGGGGTGACAAGGCTTGGGGGAGGAATTGGGGGGTGAGAGGGGAGGAATCGGGGGTGACAAGGCTGGGGGGGAGGAATCGGGGGTGACGAGGCTCAGGGGGGAGGAATCGGGGGAAATCGGGGGGTGACGAGGGGAGGAGGGGGTGACAAGGCTCGAGGGAGGAATCGGGGGATGACGAAGGGAGGAGGGGGCTGACGAGGCTCGGGGGGAGGAATCGGGGAGTGACGAGGGAAGGAATCGGGGGGAGGAATCGGGGTGACAAGGGGAGGAATCGGGGGCTGACGAGGCTGGGAGGGAGGAATCGGGGGGTGACGAGGCTCGGAAGGGGGAGTCGGGGGAATTGGGGGTGACGAGGGGAGCAGGGGGTGACAAGGCTCGGGGGGAGGAATCGGGGGGAGGAATCGGGGGTGACAAGGGGAGGAATCAGGGGCTGACGAGGCTCAGGGGGAGGAATCGGGGGGAGGCTCGGAAGGGGGAGTCGGGGGGAATCAGGGGGTGACAAGGCTCGAGGGAGGAATCGGGGGGATGACGAAGGGAGGAGGGGGCTGACGAGGCTCGGGGGAAGGAATCGGTGAGTGACGAAGGAAGGAATCGGGGGGAGGAATCGGGGGTGACAAGGCTTGGGGGGAGGAATTGGGGGGTGACGAGGGAGGAATCGGGGGGAGGAATCAGTGGTGAAAGGGGAGGAATCGGGGGCTGACGAGGCTGGGAGGGAGGAATCGGGGGTGACGAGGCTCGGAAGGGGGAGTCGGGGGAATTGGGGGTGACGAGGGGAGCAGGGGGTGACAAGGCTCGGGGGGAGGAATCGGGGGGAGGAATCGGGGGTGACAAGGGGAGGAATCGGGGGCTGACGAGGCTCGGGGGGAGGAATCGGGGGGAGGCTCGGAAGGGGGAGTCGGGGGGAATCAGGGGGTGACAAGGCTCGAGGGAGGAATCGGGGGATGACGAAGGGAGGAGGGGGCTGACGAGGCTGGGGGAAGGAATCGGTGAGTGACGAAGGAAGGAATCGGGGGGAGGAATCGGGGGTGACAAGGCTTGGGGGGAGGAATTGGGGGGTGACGAGGGGAGGAATCGGGGGGAGGAATCAGTGGTGACAAGGGGAGGAATCGGGGGCTGACGAGGCTGGGGGGGGAGGAATCGGGGGGTGACGAGGCTCGGAAGGGGGAGTCAGGGGAATTGGGGGTGACGAGGGGAGGAGGGGGTGACAAGGCTCGGGGGAGGAATCGCGGGGGAGGAATCGGGGGTGACAAGGGGAGGAATCGGGGGCTGACGAGGGGAGGAAGGGGGAGTCGGGGGCTGATGAGGCTCGGAAGGGGGGAGGAGGGGGGGAATCGGGGGCTGACGAGGGGAGGAGGGGAGTGACGAGGGAGGAATAGGGGCTGACGAGGCTCGAGGGGAGAATCGGGGGGGAGGAATCGGGGGGTGACGAGGCTCGTGGGGAGGATCGGGGGGACGAGGGGGTGATGAGGCTCGAGGGGGGAATCGGGGGGTGACGAGGGGAGGAGGGGGGCTGACGAGGCTTGGGGTCAATCGGGGGTGATGAGGGGAGGAATCGGGGGGGAGGAATCGGGGGGTGATGAGGGGAGGAAGGGGGGATCGGGGGATGACAAGGGGAGGAATCGGGGGCTGACGAGGCTCGGGGGACACTCGGGAGCTCCCCAGGAGCCTGGGGGAAAGTCTCCGGGGCAGGCCTCGGCCGCCCCCGCGCGGGGCTGCGGAGCGCCGCTCGGTACCTTTCACCCCCGCCATGGTCGCGGGGAGCAGAGACTGTAGCGCGAGCTCCGCTTTCCGGGGCGCCGAGCGGATCTGCGGGCTGCGGATACTTCCGGCTTCCGCTAACGGAGACACCCCGCCCCGGTTAGCTCCGCCCCGGCCCCGGCCCCACGTGGCCACAAGGGGCGGGAGCCATTAAAGGGCCCGCGGCGCGAGGCTGCCGCTTCCCCACCGCGACCGCCCAGGCCCAGGCCCAGCCCCGCCCCGCCCCGGCCGCCCCAGAAGGGGGAGCCCGTGTCCATTCCCGCCGCGGCAGCCGCGCTTGTCCACGTGCCCCGCCCCGCGGATCTGGCGGGTGCTTTATTCCCCCTCCGCCCCCGGGGAACCAACCCTCGGGTCCCACTGAAACAACGAGGCTGTTCGGAGCCGAGCCCGCGAAAATCTCCGGCGCCTGGGCTCGTCCCCAGCGAGCCTCTGCGACCAGCCGCCCTCTCTCGAGCCCCTTCGCCTGGGCCAGCTGCAGAGGGAAGGCGACCAGGCCCGGGGCGTTTCCGGGGAGCTGCCTTGGAGGCCGGCGGCCGGGGGAGGACCCTGTCCCGGGGAGACTTTTCCTCTCCCAGGTGTTTCAGTGTAATAAGCCTTGGGGACACAAGAGTCTTGAGCAGGCTGAATACAAATTGCTGCTGCAGCAGCAGCATCAGGCTTTGCTTCTGTTTGCTCTCCTTGTCCTGCTCCTTCCCCCATCAGCCCTACTAGAGTCTTGCAGGAAAAGCCGGTAGACAAGGCCTGCAGTCCTCACCTGAAAGCCACCGGAAAAAGTTATTTTTCTAGGAGCCGTCTTGTAGTGTTGCCCCGACTTAGTGTGACCAGGTGTCCCCATTTTATAGGCACAGTCCTGATATTTGGGGCTTTTTCTTATATAGGCTCCTATTACCCCCCCACTCCTGTCCCGATTTTTCACACTTGCTACCGGTCACCCTGTCCTGACTTGGCTCATCTAAGGAAACAGTCCGCCAGAAGTCAGCTGGTTTGAATTTAATAATAAAGTTGTGCTCTACAGCCCACTGGTGGTTTGAACCAGAGGTACTGCAAATCCGGATCAGGGGTTGCTACCTAATTGAAACATGAGCACCAAGTTTATTAATTTGTCTCCTATAGAAAACCAGCATCAAGATTATCCAGGTGCACTACAATGTATTACTTCGTTAGATCAGTCTTGCTTAAAGTCACAGTCACTGACATGGGCCCATTAAATGGGTTTGCCATTTGTATGGTAGCGCAGTAGGAGTAGAGAAGGATAAACGTAGCAAAACAAAACAAATTGGTAGACTTTGTGGCAACTGAGAATTACACATTCCACTGTTCTTGGTGTATGTTTGATAGAAATGGAGGCAATATGAAATGTTATGAATACTGTAGGAACTGCAGTGTATTAACCTATGAATACTGATATGTACCAATTGGACCAGGTCAATGAGGGGAAGTTACTCGATATTGGGTTAAAAGACTTTCTTGTGTGAATGCACTGGGCTAATTCTTAGTGGGGTTAGGGCAGTATTTATTATATGCCTAGACTGCTTGAATTCAGTGGGAACTGCACAAGAAGGCAAAACAATGTCTTTCCAGATACAAATAGGTATGTACACAGCAGAGACAAGGCAGGTGCGGTAATATCTATTATTGGACCAACTTCTGTTGGTGAAAGAGACAAGCTTTGGAGCTACACAGAGCTCTTCTTCGGGTCTGGGAAAGGCACTCAGAGGTCTGGTCTACCCTACAGACCTATATCAGTAAAACTACTTCACTCAGAGTATGAAAAATCCATCCCTGAGCCACAGTTCTAACCGACCTAACCCCCCATGTAGACAGCACTATGTCAGCTGGAGAGAGTCTCCCACCAACATAGCTACCACCTCTCAGGAAGGTGGATTAACTATGCTGATGTAAGAGCTCTCTCCCATCATCTTAGAGTGTCTTCATTAAAGCACTACAGTGGCACAGCTGCGCCAATGCAGTGTTTTAAATGTAGACTGGCCCAGAGTGTTAGAGCTAAATACAAGGGTGGAACAGAAAAGGAGTTAACACGTTGAAAAGACCATTTAAGTGTCAAGACAAAGGAGTGTTATTGGCTTATAGATGGTTGTAATGAGCCATAAATCCAATGTCTTTATTATGTCCATAATTTTTGGAGCCTAGCAGAGTTATGAATTAAAGTTCCTAGGCTAGCCTTTTGAAGGTGGTGTTTAGGTTTCCTTTGAGGATGAGGACTGAGAGGTCAGATATGGTGCACATTAGGAAGATAGTACGGCCAGCTTCAAGATCCTGTATCTTGTCTCCAAGACAGCATAAGCCTTGTTTTGCCAGGCTGGTAACTAGAGACTAAAAACCTAGAGTTAAAAAGTACTGAGTAGGAGAAGGGCATTCAGTGGTGAGCAGCTGTCTAGGCAGGCAGACTCTGCAGAGGGAATTTGAAGGAATGGGGATTTCCCACATCCTGGGAATGGTGAGCATTAGGGAAAAGCAGGCATACTTAGGCTGGTTTATTTTAAAGATTTATTTTCTCTTAAGTTCATTTGTTCTAAATAAGTGATACTTTGGTTTAAGGATGCTGCTTGGTCACCCATTACTGCTGTTCTTGGTCCTGAGGTAGTAGAATTGCAGGGTGTGAGCCCAAGTCAAGGCTGCTGCTAAGTTAATCATTGTGGATACCCATGGGACTAGCACCCTGCACTTAGAGGGGGTATGCTCAGAGAGTTGTTATCCGGTCTCCTTTGACCTGTGGGGTTGGGCAGGGCAGGTATGCGGAGTAGTTTGTTCATGTACATAGGGAAGGCCTTCATATCCTCCTAAGATCTTTCAATTAAACTTTTCTGGAGGTACTCTGCAATCCTCTCCTGAAGGGATGGCAGCCTTATTTCTTCCTCCACAGTGGGCAGCTTTACTGCACCACTCCGCCATCAGGTCAGCTGGTACTGTTGCAATAAACTAGATAACAGCATACCAGCCCAGAAGGCTTCGGGAACCAGCAGCATTTGTGCTCTCTGCGTGTGTCTGACCCTCAGGAGATACCAGATAAAATCACCACTGCTGGTAGAAAATAGTGCCAGTACTCCGTACTGTTGCCTGGTTCTGTACCCATGGAAATAGGGGTCACGATTTTATTGTTTCATTCAACCAAAAAATTCCCTCTTCATTTCACCCTAACCTCACCCTGGTGGGCCATGCTCCCCCTGGCTGTGGCTGCAGGGCTGTACTGGGGCACTCCAAAGTTGAAGTGTCAATAAGTATGGCTTACATAAAAATTTTGTGGGGAAAAGGAAAGAGCACTCTGAAACTTAACTTTTGCTTTCCATTTGGACTGTAAATACGATACATCTGTCTGTTTTATCTGTAGCCATGCAGCCTTCAAAGGTGCCCCATCCTACACCCAAATCTGCTAGCATTAGGGTTCCTCTGGGTAGAGTATTTGGGGGTAGGGCATTCTGCTCTAGGGTTGTAGTTCCTAGGGAGAGTGTAGTAGGAGCTTGGGTTCGGGTTCCTACGGAGAGGGCTTTCCACCTTAGGGTTAGTATTCCTATAGGTAGGATACTTGGAGCTAGGGTGAGGATTCCTATGGGAAAGGCTCCCCACCCTACGCTCAGGGTTCCTATGAATAGGGTACTTGGAGGTATGGTAGGAGAAAGAAGAGAACATGGGAGACTATGGTCAATAAGATCCTGCAAGCCAGTGCTACATGGACTGAGCTCAGAGTATCTGGTGGGTGAATACAGCAAACACCATGGAAAAGAAAAAAAGTGGACAGGAGAATGGCCCAGGAGTCTCCCCAGCAAAAAAGAGAGAGAGAGATGCACCAGGACATAATATGGCTTCTTAGGCAGCCAATATAAATACTGTAGACTAGTGTTTCTCAAACTGGGGTTCGCCAGAGTACTCTAGGGAGTGGGCAGGTGCTGCTGATCAACTCCTGAACAGCTGTTCAGCAGCATGCAGGAGACGCTGGGAGGGAGGGGGAGGAGCGGGGAGGGGGCGAAAAGAGGAGTGGTGGGGTGGAGCAGGAAGAAGTCGGGTGGGGCCTTGGGGGAAGGGGTGGAGTGGGGGCAGGGCCTGGGGCTGAGCAGGGGTTTGGGGGTCTGTGAAAATTTGTAAATCAAAATGGGGATCTTTGGGTTGCTAAAGTTTGGGAAGCACAACTGTAAACTCTTGTCGACCGAGAGGTCCAACAATTACGGGCTCACTTCCTCCTACAATCTATGGAGAGCTCAATTTTAGCACCTCTCTACAGCCCCATTGTTTCGGGGCCCCATCCGTAGCCTTACTAGGCCTCACCAGGGCCGATAATCACAGCTTCAAATACACAGACCTGTGAGAGCCAGGGTTGCTGTATGTGTAGCCAAAGGGGACTGAAATGGACATGTTTTCTACCTTTCTAATTTTCAAGTCTGTTAACATATTTTAGATGTTTATAGTATATTTGTTTGGTAGTTTTACATTTTTGCACTGTTTTTGGTATACAGTAAGTTTCTATTGTTTTGGAAATGAATGCATTTTTATCACTTCACAACATGTACTGCAGAATGCCTAGTGCTACCCAGCATGCCTCCTGCTTGTTATTGTACAGAACCCACAGATTCAGTGAAACACAGTGTGTTGCAAAGATCACTCACTGCTGGTGGCACCTCCCCTGGCTGGCTCTGGGGCTTAGCTCTGGTCAGGCATTGTGCTCTCCTCTGGTGATCTCTCTCCCACTGCCCCCTCCTTCCGCTCCAGGAACCAGTTTCCTCTTGATGACTCAGCCCTCCCGCCAGGTCACTCCATGGGTCCCCCTTCTGAGGGGGTATCAAAGTCCTTACTGGACAAATCATCCCACACAGTCCACTGTCCTTTACCTGGTCTGTGCCGCATCTCGAGTGGCTGTGAGGGGAACCCAGGCCCACCCTCTAGTCCAGGTTCCAGCTCAGGGGCCCCCCCCCAACAGCCAAAGCCTGCACTGTCCTACGTTGTTGCTTTTTCCCTGAGCCTTATCGTACCTTCCTGGCTTCCCTTCTCTTTAGATTTACCAGCCTCCCACCTCCCTAGGAGCAGCTATGGACTACCCCCTAGAGTCCTGAACATACCTCCCTCCTCCCAGGGAGTGACTACAGCCTGCCTTCCT